TACATGTGATCATTAAATACTTTAAGTGAACAATATTGCCCGCCTAAGAAATATTAACGACGTGAGAAGACAAGTGAAAAAAAATTTAACATTTTGTAATTAAAAAAAAAATTATAGACAATATAGAACGTTTTTGTCAACTTATAAGAGACTGCATTTACGACTATCTCCACCAAAAGTTTTAAAGGAAAAAAATTGGAATCGTTTTTGAGAAAAAAATTGGTATTTGTTTAATTCTTTAATCCACATATTAACACGCAAAGTTGCGACAAAACTACTAAAATTTTGAAATAATGTGTTTGCCCTAATAAAAAACTATGGATAACAAATTTTATTTGAAGGAAATATCTATATCTTAAATTTCAATTGTAAACGAAGGACGTCCTATAGAATTATACTTTGAATTTTCGAAAATTCACTTCACGCGCTACTTTGAAAGTGAATTTTAATCTACTTTTTACAAGATATATAAGAAAAAGTTGAAGCCGTTTATTGAGAACATTTTGAAAAATGTCCCGGTGAAGCTTCAGTTAAGTATCCCCAAATTTTAAGAAAGTTTTGAAAATCGCGGGCACCCCAGTGGAAGGACAGATGGGACTGGGGAATGGATATTTTGGAAGAAAATGGCACGTATGGCTTAGGGCACTAATGGTTGTTCGCAGCACGGACAGTTCGAGGGATGGACGTTTCTGAAAAAGAACCACTTTTTATAACTTTTCCAGCAGCATTACATAACTCTTCCGATTACACGTATATTACTCCGTATATACGTACGTGTACAGTATGTAAAAGTAAAAATGAGTAAGTTTGAAAGTTCAAAAAATGCCTTTTTAATATTGAATATAGATATTATTTATTTAAATCAAATCTGTATTAGCACTTCAGTAAGTACTAATTTTAAACAACTAAATATTTATACTATTGAAAGTATGTTTAAAGCACTCCTTTGAAAGCTAGCAAAATGTACTTGTCACCAAGGGGCGGCAACCAATGGCGCGACCCGTTCTGGTTGGATACAAGTTAATACGCAGCCAGTGCCACAAAATAACGCTAAACGTGAATTATAGCTGTTGTAGTGAAAAATACGGGACACAACCATTTAAAAAGTGAGACATTATTTTTCACAGCATTGCTTTAGCTGCCTCCCGGCATTCATCTACGCGCCGCGTCTGCAACGTTCAGTCTCCCCTTCCCACAAGAACCTCCTATCCCACCGTTTGCACTTTCGGCGCCACCGTGCACTTCACGATTCGTGGGCAGATTGTCGGTCGAGAGAGTATACAGTATATCGGCGTCGGGTCTAGAGTGCAGAATGCTCCGTGAAATGCCCAGGAAATGCCCGCGGGAGCAGACCGTTGTGCAGGGCTTGGTGTAATGGAGACTTTTTACTTTCTTACCCTAACTCGTATAAGCGCGAAGTATTTGTAATCGTGCGCGGGAAAACGGCGAATTTTACAGAAACTCTTATTGCCGAACTATAGTAAACTACTTCTCCCTAACACATTGCGTTGTCATTATTCATGGCTTCATACCCTAAGAAAATCAATTGACGATAAACGTTGTCTGTCCATCTCCTTGTCTCTCTGGTCAGGCTGTCTTATCAGTGGTCGTCAATACCGCTCTCAACTGATTTTCTCCAAATTTGTTATTCCACAACTATTGACAGAAACTCGGAGACATTTGAGTTTGGATGATTTTAGTTTTTTGTGGGTACTATACACAATACGTGTTGGGGAAGATTAGTGACTTTTCGCCGATCTGGTATTAATGGATAAATAATGTGCAGAAGAGTTAAAATTAGATTCATTGCTGAGGGAAAAATATAGCTTCCGAAGGGAGGTTGTTGCGGGGAGCAAATTCTCCGTATTTACGATTAGTACTGCTCTCTCTGTGTTTTTTAGTTGAACGATAAACTTCTATGATAATTCAACCAGCTGAAAGGAATTGGTACACTAGGATTTGTTTAACCATGCAACTTGACGTGAAACAGCTGTTCCCGTTCGTCTAAATCGGGAGCCTTAAACGTCCCCATAGTGTACTCCCTGCTACCGACTATAGTTCCGATTGATGAAACTCTGATTGTTGATGATTGGCGCGGACAGCTGATATACAATTTCCACAGTATCGCTGCGCGGCGTTCTTCACAAGCCGCACTAAAACCTGACAATCATCTATATAGCTATCATTGCTGCAACTTCTCAAAACACTATTGTCTCTCAGCTGTTCGTGGTTTTTTATTTGCCACCATCCAGGGAATGGCACTGCATTTATTACTGGTTCAGCCTTTAGCGCTACCTGAAACAGTAACTGGCCTTCGATAAATTTGTTCTTTGGATTAATGTTAATAAATATTTATTTGAAATGATTTCCCAGCTCTAAATAAACCTATCTTTGAAATTTCGCTGAACTTTTCCTTTTGTTATATGTGATGCGTGACAGCTTTGAAGCACCAGTTTGTTTCGTGCTTCACGGTACGCGATATTTATATTCTTGGATTCATTGAATTTGTGTTCCAGAGTAGGAAAATAAGCTGGAAAAAAATCGTCAACATAAAACGGACAATGCAAATTTCGTCAAATAA